GGCGGGACAGCCCTGTGCCTGCTCCAGGCCGTTGTCACCGGGGGTTTTAATTCTCAGGAGCACCTAGATGGCACCAGGAGCTGCAGGCTGGTGTTAGGGGAGGGTGCTCTGCACCGACACACCACGAAAATCTCCAGCTTTCGAAAACTTTCAGACAACCCAACAAGGGCTGATGGCAACTCAGACGCCCCGGGAAGCGACTGCCAGACAGAGGTCCTCCAGGGTGACAGGGAGGCTTGTTCACAAGGAGGTACTGAGCCTTTGCAGGAGGGAGAACTCCCCTTTTCCAACCCACCAAAGCTCCTTCCCCCCACAAACTGCTGCATGAGCGGCTGCCACAATTGCGTGTGGATCGATTATGTGGAGGAGCTGCTGAAGTATTACCAGGATGGAGGAGAACAGGCATTGGCAGCTGTAGAAAAGCACGTGCAAGATGAGAACATTAAAATGATCCTAAAGATGGAAATCAGATTGCGCATGAAGAAGGACTGATTCCTCACCCTGCTCTGGCTGGCTCCTTCCATGCTGGGCCTCCCTAATGCCTCCAGCCCTCTTTGGTCAGCCCTTCCCAAAAAGGCAACGCGTGAAACCTTCTGCCTGTGATCCAGGAGTCTCTTTTTGACACTGGCTTGTGGGATCGGGACCCAATTTATTTGTGGTATTTATTTGTGTGAGTTAAGCTACTTGGTAGCTAGGTAGGACTAGGTAGGAATGGCGTGCAGTCTGAGCCTCTCCCTGGGACTCCTGGGTGTCTGCAGCACTGAGCACAGCAGGGCCCTGGCCCGGGAGCAGAGATCTAACATGCTGCTTCAATACAAACTGTGCAGAAAGTCATGTCGTGCTTCTCACTTACTGGGGAACCCTCTCCTTGGCAGCGCAGCGGGGAGAGCGTGCGCTGTGCAGGCAGCTGCTCACGCGTGCCCTGAGCCCTAGATTTCCCTGGGAGACAGATGCTTCATTCCCCCAGCTCTCGGCAAATCTCAGCCAAAGGCTGTGGCAGGGTTGTGTGTCCTCAGCGTCCCTGGGACTTCCTGTTGCTTCTGCTCTTGCCTTGTCCTTGTAGTCAGTAGCTTGAATTTTAAGCACCTTCCATAGCTTGGCAGTAACCTTGTGATTCAGGAGGACTGTGAAGCTTTATCATCTGCCCAGTTCTTCAGCTCCCTAAGCCTATTAGAGGCTTCTCTGTGTTAAGTGTTTGCGGATGAGACTGGAAAAGCGTCAGCCCCGCAGACAGATGGAGGAGCCCAGGCCTTTTCCAGCAGGAGGTGCTGGACCTTGCTGGCTCCTTCCCCCTCGCAGTGGGATTTGCTCAGTGCAAGGCGAGCAGCGGGGCTGCGGAGGTGATCCGTGTTCACGCGGAGGAGCGTGTGGCCCTGTGCACGTGGGTCTCTGCAGCTTCCCAGCAAGGGCACTGCTCTTCAGCCCCACTGCTAAATCCCGAATGGCGGCCCATGGCTTTTGGCCCCCTCCTCCCCTCCCACCGCTGTCCCAGCCCTGCTCAGGGGACCAAGGTCACAATCTGCAGGCGAGTGTGCTAATTCAGCATGCTGGACTGTGCTGGCAGGTACCTTCTCAGCAGCCAGGCAGCATCCTGGGGCTCTTTGTATCAGAGAGCAAGTGCAGTGGGACCGAGCAGGATTGCCCTGAGCTCAGGAGCTCTGCTCCCCTCGGGAGCGCAGGTTTCATCCTGGCCAGGCCGCCTGTGCCCATCCCGAGCTGACTGTGCAGTGTCAGCTGTGCCACGTTTGTTTTGTTGTTAGAAGTGACCTGTGCTTGTCCAAACACACCAAAGACCCCGTCTGCTTGCGCAGCTGTGTGTGTTTGCTCTCTAGGGAGGTGGCTGCCTTGGTGTTTCACTCACAGGACTCGGCCATACCAGCCAGACCTGGTCTGGCTTAAATGATGTCCTTTGTTCCTCATTTTGCCTCAAACTCCACAAAACTCCTTAAACTTCATCTTAAAGCATCATCTCCCCTAAATCCTACCTGACTGAGCAGAGACTGAGCTTGTTGCCTTGCAGCGTTTATGACTGTTAGTGGGATCTTACAGAAACATAGCCGCATCCTTCCAGGATGGGCTCTCTCCAAGGACACTGGTGCAGCTCTTTAGCAGCATTTGCTCACAAAACTCAAGCTGGAATCTGTAATTAACAGGGCCCTGGTCTTTGCTGGAGAAGTAACTGGTTCTGCCAGCTTCATGTAAAACACTCCTGGATCCAGGTAATCCTATTTGCTGAAGTCTAACTAATTGCAATTAGTGGAAGGGGCTGAAGTTCAATTAAAGTGTACTGAGATTATACCTTTTTGTAATTGCTTTAGTACTGCGGATTATAGGAAGCTTTAGCGTGATACTATCCCACAGACAATGGGGCGGGTGGGCAGAGGCTGTTCAGCCCCACTTCCACCAAATTTCAGACTCTCAAAAAAAAGAGAGCAATTGGCCTGAGGTGCCCCCAGCTGAGTGCGAGAGCTCAGGCTGTCCCCACGCACTGACACGAGCTGGGATTAGACTGTGAGGGAGGGCGTGTGCCAGGCACCGAGAGGACAGGAGGAGCTTCCCTTGGCACCCGCCGGTATCCCGTCCAGGCCGGGGTCACGCGCTGGGTGGATCATGTCTTCCGGTGGGGCCTGGCAGCTCCCACAGGGTAGAAGCCCGCTGCAGCAGTAAGGTGCAGCCCTCGCTTTAATGGCCAGACCATACGTGGTGCCGAGCGCAGCGTGTGGGTGTTGTCCAGGCTGGAAGCCCAGCAGGTCCCTGTGGTTTCAGCCACGCAGGCTCTGCTGCTGCTGTTTCCCGGCACGGCTGCCTGCGGCTCCCTGCATTAGCACAGTGCCCTGGCAGAGGAGACCCACAAAGGACGTTTGGTCCCCAGCTTGCAGGTCTGCAGCCCCTGAGCACTGCCCTGAGCGCGCTTTCCAGGACAGGCTCGTGCTGGGCTGGAAATCTCTGCTGCCTGTGAGCTGAGGGGCACCCAGGTGATTTCTTAGTGAGTGGAGAATCTCTTGGGAGAAATACCTGAGTGCTGTGCAAAGAGGAGGAGGCAGAATCCACCAGCAAGTGATCTGCTGCAATTCTTTCCTTGGTACTTTGAGATATTGCACAGAGGTGATGGGGTGGACAGAGGCTCTCCTGCACAGCAGGGCAAACGGCGAAGGTGGCGGTCCCTGACACATGGGCAGTCCCAGCAGCACTAATCCAAGCACCCCCCTCCCCACGCACGCGCTCCCGTCCCACCGGTACAGCCTGGGGGAAGGACGTCAGATTACCCATTTCAAAAGAAGGGACATAATCCTATTACCCCAGAGCAGGATAAATCTGCCAGCCCCTAAAAGCCATCCAGAGCGTCTATAGGACACGCACCGCTCCCGGGAGCGCAAGCAGGCCGGAGGGATCCCTCGCGGAGCAGAGCTGGCCTCGGGCAACCGCCGCATAGGGGTAAGCGGTCAACTTTGCTCCGTAGCGGGATGGGAGCTGCTCACGCTGAAGGCTGGTATTCCTGGGCCAGGGCATTTCTTTGCATTAGGCAGAATCCTGCTTTTGCCTCCCACTCTTGCAACACGCAGACGCAAACGGTGTCCCCAGGCTCTTTCTGGGCCGTTGCCTGGGGGGTGCCTGGCTCAGCAGGGCTCTGCAACGGGGCTGTGTCACCGCGCACCAACACCAGAGCGAGATCCCCGTGCTCAGCCCACCGCGTGGCAGCTGGGCCCAGATGAGGTGCGCTTTGTGGTGCCCGCCGCGCGTTCCCAGCCCCTGCAGCCCTTTGCTCCCCCCTACGGGGTTCCTGGCTCAGCAGGGCTCTGCAACGGGGCTGTGTCACCGCGCACCAACACCAGAGCGAGATCCCCGTGCTCAGCCCACCGCGTGGCAGCTGGGCCCAGATGAGGTGCGCTTTGTGGTGCCCGCCGCGCGTTCCCAGCCCCTGCAGCCCTTTGCTCCCCCCTACCCCGCATCGCAGCCGCCCAGACCCCAGTGCCAAGCCCCGCGGCCGGGCAGGACGGCTCTGCGCCACTCTGCAAAACCATCTGGCTGCAAACAAGCCCCCGGGGACGGCCGGCTCCCCTGCGTGCCAGCTGCACCCCGGCTAACTCGCTGCGGCCCCCGCGACACGGGCGGCTCGGGGTGAGCCCCGGCG